CTGCCGCTGCAACACACACAGAGAGACAGCAGGCCATTAATGTTTCGTCACGATTACTCTGAAGCATCTACTAAACGCGCGCGTTTGCTTTTTCCAGCTGTTGCTGTTGCTTTGCAGTTCGGAAGATGGCGACCCGCGGCACCCGAAACCGTGATCTAATGCGAAGCGCATTTTGGGCTATTGAGGACCAAGAAGGGAGAGACCAAGATTCGTCACCAACTGAGAAAAGTTCTTCTCATTACCTGTACGATTGGTTTGTATTGCGTAATACAATTGGGTGCGGAAAAGAGGTTGAAGATTTAGAAACCGTTTGAGAACAGAATACTCGATACTACTTCTAAGTGAGAAAACGAAGAAACGTCAGCGATTGAACGGCTATCTAATAGTGAGTCCAAGAGTAATCGAGGAGCATTGATTACCGATCGTCTATGACATCATAATATGAATTCAATACGTTACGCTAATTAAAATAATCGTAAAATAATACAGAAGCAATGTAAGAGATAAGTAAATAAGTATTATATGTGATTAGAGAGAAAGTATCAACTTCAGATGAATTTTCTCCTTGTGTTAAAATTCACACTATGTTACTTAATTATAATGTTACATGATCCAATCTTCACACTGTATGTCTTTGCAATCTACTCGATGCCATTATTAATGTCCCTAGATTCTGGCAATTGATTCTTAAGTTTCTCATCTGATAAGTGGCGATAAGACGCAGCAGAAAGTGTATCTGTTATAAAAATTGGCAAGCTCTTCGAGACAGGATCTTCGAGACGATCGTTAACGAGTGCAATCCTCTAGGAAACGTATCGTGTCCTCAAGTTCAATCGCGCTCGAGGAGAAACCCGTATATTCGAGATATCTAAACATCGAACTAATTCCATTACTACTCGAGGGAAAATGACAACGGATATGTGTGTGTGTGTGTGTGTGTGTGTGTGTGTATGTGTGTGTGTGTGTGTGTGTGTGAGGAGTGGTGGGAAAGCATACAAAGTGGCGTGTACCTAAGCGATCGTTTTTTCTATCTCCCTCGTTCTTATTTTTATCTCAATGATCCCGCGCCTACGATGCATTCCCTAAGTCGCGTGATTTGCGGACTTCCCTCGTTCACGCAAAAGTCCTGGCAGTGTTGGCTCCGTAAGCGTACACTTGGTCGATTAAATTCGCGGATTGGCGATCGTTTTCCGAGTACGAGAATGTCGTTAATATGAAGCATCAGCAAAGCATATGAAGTAAAAGCAAGAATAACACTGAACGAAGTTTGACAGTGCAGAGAGAGAGAGAGAGAGAGAACTGTATCTGTATTAATAAAAAGATTAAAGTCAAATTTTTAAATTGGTAGTCCGGGAAAAAATGTTTCCATATATATAATTATATATATATAATATTCCTGTGAGCTTATCTGAAGAGAGAGAATTCTAGACGGAGAATTTTATATCTCAGTGCTGCCATTTAGTCACTTAAATTACTTTTTATCATCTTTATTGACAAATCATTGAAATCGCTACCATCTAAAATGAATCGCTATGGTTTTCTTTCTTGAGCATGAAATTTGTAAAACATAAATATTCTATTTAATAAAGAAATGTCATTTTTTATTATTATTTTAATACCTGAAAGGTTACCTTTTCACTTTTTCCGTCAAAAAGTCGTCACTTTTTTTATTCGACGACTAGATAGATGGTAACGCTAAATCCAAATTCATTCGTTCTATCTCGGTTCTCTATTTCTTTTAATAAGCAGGACTATGTATTTCGTTTTTCCAAAGAGATCGAGAGCATTTCTGTTATTTTCTACGAACATGTGTGTCTTTGTACTTCGATCTTCGAAATATAAAAGAAAAGAAAAAGATTGGCGGAAAGAAAAGTGAAAAAAAATATCGCCTTTCTGACACACATAAAGTTAAAGATATATTCCCGTGATATTATTAAATTTATTGAAAGCTATCAAGATATTACTTTGAAATATAAAAATAGTTGCTATTAGGTAATGGATAGTCAAAAAACGATATTTTTTACAAGTCGCAAACGACATTCTTGTAATAGAAATCGTACACCACTCGTGATTCTAAACGCAAAAATCAAAACTATAAAGTCCTGATGTTATTTTGCTGCAAAAGAAGCTTTTGTGGAAGACTACCGAGGTCTAACGAAAGATACATACATGGATGCAGACGCGAATACATATCGCGTTCACAAAAGGATTGAACGTTACAAATTAAAAAGAATCTAAATGCCAAATTTTGTAAAATTTGGAAATAGTATGTATCCGATATTCGCGATTATAAGAGATGAAACTATTCTTTAAATCTGCGAATAAAGTTACCATTATCGTTGAATAAGAACAATAAAAATCTTATTGGATCATAAATGTGAAAACACAAATAGGAAATAAAGGCCCATAACGGTCGAAGCTGAGCATTATCGTTGAATATTAAGAATTATATGGGCTCTCTCTTTATCATTAAAATTCTTTTAAACTGTATTATTCCCTTTGGCATCTAGACTTTTTAATTTGTTCAATTAGAAACTGCGTTTTTCCTCGCAAATACCACAATCAATAGCAACATCAGTGTTAGCATTGATAGCCATATCAAGCTCGATGAAGTCATTATCGTCATCGTTACTATTACACGCGAGTGCCCATCACCCGCAGTCGGATGATCTCGCCCATAAAATCCTGTTAACTTTTTTTCCGCCCCGGAAAGAAGCACGATAAATAATTATCACAGTCTGAACTATACGTCTAATCCCTACTTGCGCCCTACTTGCGGTACACAGCTTACATGACTAATCTACACACGGCCGCAATTATACCTCATTATTTCCAAAATATTCAATTCGTCGCTACGAGACTCGTTACATACGTATGTATAAATATACAGAATGTTTCAGGTGTCGTGCGCTTTCTCTCAACTACAGACATTAGCCGAATAGAATATCCTGATAGTATTTTTGGATTGAAGACTGCAAATATTTAACGAATAAAATGACAGATATCATTCAAACAAAAAAAACCGAATCTTCTTTTGCGCTTAAATTTAGTTTATATCATAAGCTTTTTGAATTTAAGGTATTTAATATTACATAAAATTGAAAAATGAGATGTTTCATCAAGATAAATTGATATTTTAAATCCGTAGTGGATGGAACGTGCACGAGATCCGCGACCGATATATATATACGTTCAAAAAATGCAACGCTATAGCGCGAGCGAACCACATCGCTCCTCCCTCGCGTCCGCAGAATGTACAATCGAAGATAAATTAATTACAATTGTCGTTTGAGTCCTCAACGCGGGGCCCAAATAGAAGAGGTTCAATCGATATTCACACATTTTAATATTTTTGTCTTTGTACAAAAGAAGAAGCGCGTCTCTTATTGGTCTGGTAATAAAATAGTACCTCGACGGAGACTCTGCGCGCGGATCGACTCTCGAACGGAGAGGGCTCCTGCCACGCGAGTTCCTTGTTGCACATCAAGATCCACACGTATTTTTCTTTCCTTTTTCTTTCTTCTTAATTTTTATGCACCAATATGGTGTACGGTTTAGACACTCAGGCTCTAAATAATATCTGGCCGAGTTTTACCCGTTTTTGTCGGACAATAATCGTCCGGATTCGTCCCGAAACTAAAATTGGCCGCTCACCGTTTCTCTTATTCATCATTGAAGTCATTTTTGTACTGTCCAATTTGACCTCGAACCGAAAATATATCAGTGTGCAAACGCATGTATTTAAAACGCACTTACAGTCGCATCGCATTGTACACTTAAAATGTTTTATAGAGGCCGGCTGTTAATTTCGTTCACGGTGTCATTTCAAAGAATTTAAGATTTAATAAAAAGCCTACGAATACCGAGAGTTCATGTCTCGGCTATTTACTGCGTTATCGCAAACGCATCGCACCTTCAAGTCTAAGCGCATGATCCTGAGAGTTCACCTTCATCATTCATAAAACGCGGTCTATCGCAAACGCTAGGCACCCCTCAACACGCTTTCGACTCGCTTCGTCGTCATTCATCCTTAAGAGTTCACCAGAGAACGCGGCACGTTAACGACGCAACGAACAGGTCCTAAACGGTCCTAACGCATATATGCGTTCGTTTTCACGCCATTACGCTCATGCTTCTCTCTCGTTCTTTCTGGTTCTCGCTTCACTGGGTCCCGCGGGTCGCCTTACTGTCAGGGTCTGACGAGAGGCTTACCTCCGTAGGGGGCGGGGTACTGTCCCGTCAACAAGGGATACCCGAGGCCCACGTGAGTGTGATGATGCGTGTGCACGTGTCGCTGTGGAGGCGGCGATCTGTTATCCTTGCCGAGGGCGCCACCGCTGGCATCCACCGCACCTTGTTGCTGCTGCTGACTACCCGGTTGACCCTGCTGCTTGCCGGATGGCTGCTGACCTTGGCCCGGCGGTGGGCCTGGGCCTGCAACTGACGTAGGCGGACCACTGGGGGGCCGAGCGGGGGTCGGACCCGCCGAAGATGGGCTGGCGGATGCTGCAGAAGTCTTGGGCGTCGGTGATTTGAGCGCGCGCTCCTGAAGCTCATGTATCTTGTGCGCCGAGTAATACTGATTAGCGTGGTGTTGGAGCAAGTCCAGCGCTTTGCCGCCGGGTGGCCGACTAAGGTCCTCCGGCGCGTGATACCTAGGCAGCTGGTGAAGATAGGGATTACTCGAATATGGACCGGGCACTAGCATGGGGCTGAGACCGCGGTAGACTGGGTGACCTGGATCGAATGGCAGCGCACCATAATGCTGTGGCTGCATATAACTGGGATGAATATAAGCGTACTGCGAGGTAGGCGGCGGCGGCGGTCCCTGAGTCTCCATCGTCGGCTTTACGCCCTCCTGCTTGCTCTTTGAGTCTTCGCTCTTTCCGAGATCCTGTGGTTTTTCCTGCTTCGGCTGATGCTTTGGACTGGGCGGTGGAACCTTTGCTTGTTGATTCTGTTTGTTTGATTCCTCTTTTCTCCTTTGTTCACTCGGATACAGATAATACCTCCTGTCATCTTGAACAGGTCCCGGAGGAGGCGGCGGCGGTGCCGCTCGTTGACTCTGCGAACTGTGATAGACGTGGTACGGACTCATCTGACTCTTCATCTCGATACTCTCCTTGAGTATCTGATGATTTTCGTGCTGTTTGTCTTTCAGACTCGGCTGTGGCTGTGGCTCCTGTTTAATCTTAACCTTCTGTTCATGCGACTCCTGATCCTGCGACTGCTGACTCTGTTGTTGTTGTTGCGAAACCGGCTGCGGTGGCTGATAGGCGTAGCCTGGCGG